CTGGAATGCTTGATCTGCTGCTTCAACTTTCTATCAAGACCGGAATTCCCCAGTCTGGGCTTCTTAAGGCGTCCTGGCGGCTTCAATTGCATCAGAAAATTCCCCAGCGTTTGGGCTTCGTGTCAGTTTCAAGGGCAGGGGCCATCTGCTTGAGCAGAGCGTGCACGGATGGCGATGCTGCACAAAACCGCTCATCGGCCTTAGTGGTGGCCTTGACGTAGATGCAGTGGGCACCTTGTGCTTTCACCGCCTGTGCTAGGTGTTTGCTCTTGAAACGGCCATGAAATTCCTTGGCCCTCACACACTGGTGAAACGGCGCGTCGGCCACACGGCGCGCCACCTCCTTGGCAGCCTTGAGCTTTTCTGGGCCAAAGCCGCCCTGCACATCGATGCCGAGGAAGTCCAGGATCTGCTGCTCCTGGCACATGTCAAACAACAGTGCGCAAAACAAAGGCGCAAGTCAAACCCGTCCTGCTCGCCGATGGCTTCCTGCCGGACCTGCTCGAAGGTCTGCGCTTTCAGGTTCTTGGCGAGCTCCTGCGAGGCTGGAAAGGCTTCGCAAAGCGCACTCGCCGCGCTTAACTCCGAGGGCCTCCAGCTTGCCCACATTGCCGCCCGTGAGGTGCAGCAGCTCGGCCTTGTGCTCCACAGCGGCATCTCCCCCGTGGTGCTGGAGGAACTCCCGGACCTGGTCAGGGAGAATGCCAAACAAAGGAACGCGCTCGGCAAAGGGGCCCCGCCTCCTGCTGCTTGCACTCTTCCTCACTCAGCGATGCGATCTGGCACCGAACTTCGCGCGCATCCGCGTCAAAGCTCAGTGCCATGGAGGCACTGCTCGCCAAAACCACCACCTTCGCCAATTCGGCGTCGCAGCCCAACTCTTAGCGAGGCCAGAGCAACTGGCGAGAACTTTCATATCACTCACTTGCCGGGGTATCTCCAAGACGACGATGGGCAGGCGGCCCAGCGTCTTTGCCGCCTGCTTCAAGGCCTCCTCGACCTCAACGTGGCCGGGGGCACCCAGCTGGTGGCGAAGCCTTTCTCCTGCGGTCTCCTTGTCGCTGTCGAGCTTCACGTGGACTATGCCCTCGTGAAAGCTGCTTCCATCTCGCGTGTTCGGATTTCTTTCTGCATCTTGGCATGCTTTGAAGAGG